AATCGGTGAGATGACAGTTGTGGATTGGTTTGGTTCGGGATTAGCGTCGGATGAGGACGATGTTGATGGAGATGTGGACGATTTGAGGTTCAATATCTCATCGATCATTAATTTGGACCGTTTTGGGGTTGAATTCGCCGTCTGAACTGGTGCAGATGGTTTTTGCTGCGGTGGTTGTGGCTGTATAGTTTGCTGGATTGCAATGGACTGTTGTTGTTGTTGCTGTTGCTGTTGATGCCTTGCGATTTGCTGTTGGAAATTCATAAATGCGGCTTGATTTAGCAACGGATTCAAAGTTGGATTCAGTGCTGGATTCAACTGAGCATTCATTAGCAATCGGAGCGGATCGAAGTGAATGGCACCCTCGTAAGCACTGTAACCGGCCGGAGCGACATGTTGCACCAGCTCCCTTTTGGCCGTCAAATCTCGTGGTCTCTCCTCTTCGGGTGTTGGCGATTCAGTCATTGAACTCTCCAGAATCTCATCATCGTCCATCTCCGAGTCATCGGAATTCTCCGAGCTTGGCGTCTTTTTACCACCAATGTCAAGACCATTCGCTCTGAAATTATACAAAATTACCATTACTGCAATTTGTGATTTTATTCAGATCTTAACTCATTCGGCTAGAAACGTAGAATGCACTTGAACACTGCGGAACTGAATTTGATTACGAGATCAAGATCATAGTTATTATCAGATGTGCGAGGTAAGATGATGTTTTTGAGTCAGATTGGAAGACTTCAAAATATTTATTCTTCATGGAAGCTTTTTTTCATCCCTTTCTAACGACAGCTCTCAAAAAATTATGCTACATTCAGTGGTGATAATACTATGTTGCATAATATGAAAGCAATCATCCATTACCACTAAGCATTAATATTCAACTATTACATTATACAAAATAACTCATTCATTTGAACTCAGATTCTTTCATCATGTACACATATTTATCTATCTTCGCTGTGTGTCTATGCGCATGTAATGGCTCATGAAATGAAAAGGACACTCACTCGTTAAGACTGTTAATGGATAATGGATATATTGTGGATGTGCTATGTGTTTATGCAAAGCCCGGATAAGAGCTGCCGGTGCCTTTCGAGGAATAGACTTGAAACAATGCTTCATGTCAATGTTTTGTGAACAAATGATGCATGAACTGAACCTTTGCTGAATTCATCATGCATTGAGCTTTATTCACATATAGTTGTATGTATGCACGTTTGATACGTTTGATTAACGAATATTGCATCAATTAACCACTGCATCAAATGCAATTGCACCTGACTAAGTACGTTACTCAATTAAGTCAATAATAATAATAGCCACAATAATACTGCAGAAAATAATTCTTTCATCATGCGACAAAATGAACGAACATTTCTTGATTCAATTGCTGTGTGCTGCATGCTTATCCCACCAGTCATAGACAGTCATCCCACTCTAAATGCCATATAGATATCTTTAATGTTACCATAGCTTGTGGAAATCATTCATTCAGAATAATGCTAGCATCAAAGAAGCAAACATATGACATTATCTCCAGTCATTACTACTTTATGTCTAATAACCCAAAAGATTCTACAATATCCCACACTATCACTGTGTTTCTCCTTAGCTTCCGAGAAACAAAACCATTGTAGCGGAAGAAGTATGTCTGCATGGAAAAACGCTTGTATCACCTAATCCAGTCGATCTTCACGAAGTCGGATCAAGACTATGCATTATACAATGAAATCTCATGATAGTGTGATCCATAGGATATGAAAGTTAAAGGAGATATATCACAAGAACAAATCGTGATTAAGTAGACAAGTATAAGTTCCAAGCCAGGTGATCTATTTTTTCAGATCAAGAACAACTGAATTCGTAATGTGAACAACATAAATACTCGAAGATTTCAGTTACTGATTACTTCTAAGTCAACAAATGAAGTTTCGCAACTAAGTATTCAAATTTTATCCTTTGTCTTGCTACTTGTAAGTATCAACGTGAAGATTTTGCACGAGAAATAACTGCCGTGAAAGTTGAAGTCAATGAACTCTTATTGAAGTTCTACTTCGAGTCTACTACAATTACCTCTTGTTTACTAAATTTGCAACAATCCTTCAATTGTTGGAGACTCAGACGATTGCGATATTAAACCACAATTATCGTATAGACTCATGGAATGTTTTCATCTGAATATTAATCGTTCTGTCTGCCTTTATATGATACATCAATGATACTGCGTATGTGTTACAATTGTCAACAATGACAAATCACTTCTATTATGTGGAATCTGTTCGTCCCTAAATTTAATAACACCATCGAGTCCATTGTTATCGGATGGGTGTCACAATGACTAGTTGTAATTCACATCCCAGTAATAATAGCAATTATGATAGTGCTTAGCCATAGATACTACTGATTGTTGTGCCATAAAATTTCCACACCCTCTTTGATACTTTTTGAGTATTTGTGTTGGTTGTCCTGCAACTGGAGACCGGGCAAATTGATCTAAAGGTTGAGGTACCTATCCCAAAGTAATTTCCAGAGGTAATACCAGAATTGAATAGAGTGTAGCACTAAAACAGATGGCAAATAGAGCACGTTTTTATNCATCCACATCCCTATTCAATGAATCGTCATAATCATCCACTCATCATCATAATAAATTGTTCTCCTCTCTTGTTCACATTCATCATCAATTAGGATAATATAATACATAAAATGGCACCGTTATGATGATGCGCAATTCGCTCCTCATTTATTTGTTCAAGTATCACACTTTATGTTGTATCGCCTTCACCCTATGTCTGTCTACACGCATCAATTTGCGCTATCATACCCAATTCTCTATATTCATTGAATGTGTAACACGAACCATCACCACCGTTTTAATGTCAAATTTGTCAAGCATACCCAAAACATATAGCCATTTATGTATTAACGCATATACGAGAGAATAAACACCGAAACCACACGCCCACACTATCTATCGTTTTGTTTTATTCTATTCATCGTCACTGGCTCATAGCAGCCGGCAATACTACGGTAGATGTGGGCTGCGAAATTGTTGGTTGTTGATTGGAGTGTAATTGATACCGTATGCTATCATCGCACATTCATTCGTACATTCATTACGTTAATTGTTTATGAACGGCTCGGCTCGTGTTCAGTTCAGTTCAGATGAAATTGAATCCAATAAAGGCTTTTAGAGCAGAAAGAACATTTTTGGTCGAATGTAGGTGTAAATGAACAAATATATGATAGATACTCGAACTATATCAGTAATCCTATTTGCAAAAAGTTCGAACTGTGGCTATCGAACACAGATCTAATTGTTAGCATTCATCTGAGCACTCTTAACGTCATGGAAACATATGGTAATCTTATCATTTAC